AAACAGAACTGACCTTGATTAGCAATCCAATATCAGATAGAATTTGATTCTCAAAGGGTATTTAGGCTCTCCTGTTATTTATTAAAGAGCCTGAAATAATGGTGCAGCTCAGTAACTTAGCCTGTGAATTCAGTACCTCAGGACTCAGGTTCAATCCCTGACACATGCAGGTAGAACTGGAAAAGCTTCTAATCTGTGAACATGAAAAGATGCTGCTAGCTGAAGTGGGTAGTATTGAGCTAGAGAGGGACGAATGATTTGACTCAGGACAGCATCACACACAATAAAATCAGTATTTCTACACATTTAAGAATGGGCAATCCACATAGTTCATCACATGACACAAGCTTCAACTATGGGTGTGGGTTTTTCCTACAATTCCTAAGTTGATTGATAATCAACTTTTCAAATCCCCATGTAGAGACGTGTAAAAATGCCCAATTTAATATGTGATGGGAACCCCTCCCCCCTTGCCCATTTGTAAATAAAATGATGATGGTGTCATGGGGGGTGGAGTCGAGATGAGAAGTATAGAATCTTTTCTTCTGCCATAATCTTTAAAACCAAGGAGGTAATTTTTAAAAAAACAATGGCTAATGCTCCTTTGGGTGGTGTGGCTCCCACTAAAATAAGTGTTATAAAAGGGTGCCTTAACTCTTACTTCATTGGAAGGGTATTGAGGGCAAATGACCTCAGAAAAAGTGGTTCCTTAAGACTGATGCCTTAACTCTGCTTTAGTGGAAGGATTTTGAGGACAAACAACCCCAGGAGAGTGGTAATACTAATGTCTTAATTCTGCTTCAAAGAAAATGGGGGAGGAGACAGCAGGAGGGGCAATATGTCTTGCATGTGATTTAAAGGTGAACGGATAATTAGAAAAGAAGGTGGAAAGAGGGAAACCATGTGATGGGGGTAGGAAAATAATTCATTTAATTTGAAAAGGAAGCTTAAAGGGAAAACAACAATCTTAAATGCTGTAATTATCCCGTGGGATGGGGTCCTTTGTCTAAGCCAGCAGCTACCCATATTCTAGATAGGCAACATTTTTGTCAAAGGCAATGGAGCATGAATTGAGTTACATGTGCATGTATACACACATTCAGTTTCCTCTCCTCTTTCTAATGGCTTCACATACATTTCCAACCATTGGCACAGATGGAAAGCTGACTATTTTGATGAAAGACATTTAGTAACTTATTTTAAAATATAGCAACGCTATTTTGAATTAATAAAATTCAATGTGAAATCAGAAACACATTATCAACTGATTTAAATGTGGAAGAGGACAGATTACCCTATACTCGCCTCTGGGGAGTCCATTACAAATACTGCTGCAGATGTCCTTGATATTTTTAATTTTTATTTACCATATATATTATTCATCAATGTCCTGCCTTTCCTTCAGGATTTGTCTTCATCACTACTGTGGGAGAAGTCCATCTGAGAAAGACAGTGGTTTGCTCAAGTCACCCAGTGAGTATTAGGACTTCTCAATGACTTCAACCTTGATTGCCCAGATATTTGACTAGGGTTAGAAATGATTATCAAATAAACTCAATTAATAATTTGAAAAGACTGGCTAGAGCCCTAAAATCAAAACAAGCTAGAAGCAGAATACTCAAGCTAAAAGATGATAGAGGACATCTGAGATCATCAGATAAGGAAATCAGGGAGATTATGGCTAGCTACTATGAAAAACTTTACGAAGGCAAAGAATTAATCAAACAAGATGGCCTCTTGGAAAAATTCATAAATCCACAGTTACAAACCAATCTAAATAGCACAATAACCAACTCAGAAATTGAAAAAGGGATAGAAAGCCTAAAAGCAAACTCATCACCTGGGCCAGATGGCTTCACAACAAACTTCTATAAAATATTCAAAGAGGAAATCACACCAAACCTATTTATACTATTTAATGAAATAATGGAGATGCAAAAAGTGCCAAATTCCTGGAAATTCTCCGACATTCATACAATTCTAAAACCAAATAAGGATGAAACTGATCCCAACTCTTATAGACCAATATCCCTTTGCAATGTGGACTACAAAATATTTACTAAAATTTTAGCAAAGAGAATGAAGGACATAATACCAGAAATAATTCATGATGATCAATACGGATTTATAAAAAACAGGAAATTAGTGGACCCTATAAGGAATATATTGAACATTTTGAACCACAGAAAGAAAATCCAAATTACTTATATTAAAATTAGACTTTTGCAAAGCATTTGACTCATTAGATCACAAATATTTGAACAGATTATGTGAGGAAAGTAATATGGGGGCGAAAGTGTGTAAGGTAATAAAAGAACTATATAGGGGAAAGAAATCAACCATCTCAGTAAACGGAGCACACACTAGACAAATAGATATCAAGAGGGGAACCAAACAGGGATGCCCCCTTTCCCCAGCCCTATTTTCATTGGCCATTGAGCCACTAGCAAATTCAGTTAGGAACAATCCGGTCATTAAAGGATATAAGATGGGCAAGGAAGACATCAAGATTAATCTGTATGCTGATGACGTTATGATAATTTTAGGGGAGGTGGAGGAGTCATTACAATCAATAGTTAAAATAGTTAAGGATTTTGGAAAAACTTCGGGCCTTACAATTAATTTTGAAAAATCAGAGATACTACACAAAAATTTATCATGGGAAGAACTCAAAAAGATTCAAAAATATTATGGGAGTTAAATTGGGGGAAAAAAGATGAAATATCTGGGGGTAAATATACCAAAAAATATACCAAAAAATCTCAATAATATCATACCAATGAATTTTAATTGTCTATGGAAAAATATAAGCAAACAAATTAACACAAGGGGAAAGAAATTCCAAGATATGTCCACAAGGTTAAAAATTTATAAGATGAAGATTTTGCCCAAATTTCTATTTGTGTTCCAAACTCTCCCGGTGAATATCCCTAACAATTTGCTGTATAAATGGGACAATTCTATTAAAAATGGGTAGTGGGAGGAAACAAAAACAGAATTGCCAACTTTCTATATTATAGTAAACAAGAAATGGGTGGATGGGGGGCTCTCTCTTTGGGAATATATTATGAGGCTAGTCAGTTAGCAAGATTATTAGAATTCAAATTAGAAGGGTCGAAAAGATGAGTGCAAATAGAAAAGGAAGCAAACAGTTGGCAAAGGGGAACGTATATGGGAGAGAGAATAGTCAGAAAAGACTTAAAGAACTTTAAAGTCGGCCCATGCTTAACAACGTTGTTAATTTGGAAAAAATGGCAAAATAAATTACAAATAAACAAAATTGACCCTTTCCCATTAGAAACCTTGGAAAATAAGGACAAGACATTCATGAATCTAATTAGGGCACTTAAGGAAAATGGAATCAAAAGGATAGGGTACCTCATGGAACCCAATGGAGAAATAATAAAGTGGGATAAGATAAAAGATAAATGTGGTCAAGAAACTGAATAGCATGGTTAGGCCTGTCCAGTAAAGCTCAGGCCATGAAAAGAAGAGAAGTAGCAGAAACCCCACTTGACAGAATAATTAAAAGGAAAGTAGAAATAGACAAATGGATTATCAGGCTACTATATGAGGAATTAATCACCTTAACTTACAAAACAAAAACAACACTTATAGAAAATTGGAAACAAGAGAAAAACTTCAGTGAGAAATTAATTGTGTCTTGGATTGACAATATGCATAAAATTAAACATATGAGGATCAAGGAGACCCAAAGGAAAATAATCTCCAAATGGTATAGAACCTCCACTCAATTAGCACAAATAATGGGAAATATCTCAAACAAATGTTGGCACAAGTGTGGGGGTATAGGTTCATTCTCCCACATGTGGTGGGATTGTAGAAAAATCCAGAACTATTATGGTAAAATAATGGAAGACATAATAGGAAAAGAATTAATGTGGGATAAAGCCAGGTTCATGTCCCTCACCATAAAGGCAAAGGAAGATAACAATAATTGGACAGAAATCCTAAAATATATGACAGCCGCAATACAGGCCACGATAGCCCGGGGATGGAGAGATGATACAAGATGGGATTTGGAAACCTGGTGGGCCTATCTATCAGAATATATAATTAATGATTTTATCAATCAAATGAAAAACAAGTATATAAATAGTCAAACAGAAAAAGATTGGTTTAGGAAATGGTCTGTGATAATAGACAAAATAGATGGAGACGATAGATACAACATTTTGAACCAGGCTTTCCACATAGTTAAATTGATGCAATGACATGATTTAGAATTGCTCTTCCGGGGGGGGGGGGGGGGGGGGGGGGGGGTTGTTGGGTGATACATAACTAAGGAATGTACAGAGGGTTATTTAAGGAATGCTTATTTTTGGAATAATGTATATTGAAATAAGTCCTCTACGGCAAAATTTTGTTGATTGTTGGGATGTATCAAAATAAATAAAATTTTAAAAAAGGTCATACTGGATATCACTGGGATTGATTATCAGTGCTTTGAATATTCTCTGCTAAAGTTACTGTACAGTTTGCTTGATTCTTGGAATAACAGATGGAAAACTAATATGGTCAATAAAAAAAGGAAAATAAAGGCCTGATTGCCTGGAAAAAATGTCCTGGGACATCAAGGGCATTATAGTATGTTGTGGTAGGACAAAAGCAAGGCAAAGATATGCATACATCTTTATGTAGGAAGAAATGATACAGGTAGATCTATTCCACAATAGTGAAAGTCTCAATAGACCATATGCTTTAAAAAAAAACCACCCTTTAACCTAGCAATTCAGATCCTGATATTTAATATTTGCTCTACTGCGATGCTTATGAACAAATAAAACCAGACGAGGGCAGGGTTGGTAAAGTTAAAAAACACAGACAATTTAATTTATTCTTTGAATGTATATTTAAGAAAAGTAGGGATACATGATATGTTGCCAAAGGTTTGTTATAATCTTGCACAAAGAAAGCAAAAAAATCAATATTATTGTACAAACCAATGCTAGAGAAATCAAGAATATGTAGACACAAACCTGAGGCCGTACAATACTGTGCCATCTGGATGAAGGCGAATCATTCGATTCTTAACAGTAACACCATGTACAAAAGACTTCTTGTCATTTAGAAAGTAAGTATCAGGCACCCAAAGTTGATCAGCTACTCTGTTATCAAGTGTAAGGTTGAGAGGAATCCCAGCATAGGCTAGTCTTTTATCTCTCCAGTATTGTTGAAAGTACATAGTTAAAGTGTAGTCCTGGGGAGAAAAGAGGAGAAACTGAAGTTAAGTCATATTCACACAAATTGCATACATGAACATGGTATCTTTTAATATACATAATACAGTTCATTCTAAACATCTACAAGAAATTGATACTCTGCAAGAAATATATACTCAGTCTGAGCATTTTTAATATTATGGTGCAGCTTTATGTGAGTGAATGAATTCTTCTAAATAAAATACCACTAGCGATTTCATAATATGTAGATTTTTCCCCTTCTGATGAAGTATTACTTGCTGTTATTAAAAGGGATCTTTTGTTTTAAAGTTTGCTTCCAAGAGAACATACTTGGAATAATTCCTATCAAAGGGCTCACTGGAGGGATCTACATTGGCAATAACCCTCCATCTAGATTTTTGAGAAACCTAAATCAGACAAAAGTTTCTCAGGAGAATATTATCCAGCATTTTAGATGAATAGCTGCCTTTACCAGGGACTAGCTGTCATGACTGTTCAGATGAAAAGCAGTTATCTCCTGCTTTCATTTCCCATGGACAATTTCTATTAGTACATCATCAGAATAACAATATGCCTCCTGGTGTTTCCTGCAGTTTTCAGTTGTAGAGAGTAGGGGCAAATACATTCTCTGCTAGAGATAGCTTAATTACAGCTTGGTTTTAGCAGTAATAACATTAGGAAATACTTGAATTTTTATTGGCCTTGATATAAATAAACTAGATTACTAAAGCCCTAAGGTATACATTGTGTGTTATGAGAAATCGCATCATACTGCAATATTAGTAATTGGATAAAACTTGAAGCTGTATAAACATCCTATGTCACTGGAAAAGGGAGCAGTAATGTGTGTGTGTGTGTGTGTGTGCGTGCGTGCGTGTGGGGGTATCCATTGATATCTTGCCCTGTGACTAGACTTCCCTCGAATTCTCAAGGCTGAAAGCACCAAAAGAAAACAGGGCAACCCAAAAGACTGTGTTGGCTGTGTAGCTGAAAAACAGTACGTAGTAATCTTCCCAACTGTATGAATTATTGGGCCAATGGCTAAATAGACAAAACAGTGAGAAATATGTGCTTACTTCCAAAGTTATAATGACCTATTTTATATTGCTCTTATCCTTGCTGCTGCTATATGACCTATGCAATTTACTCACTAGCCCTATCCTCTGAAATGTTGTGGCACCAATCTGCCCACCTGTGATGAGACATTCAACTTTGCTATTGCTTGTTGTTTGATCATTGTTTTATTTTGTTGTTCATTCGTTCAGTTGTTTCCAACTCTTCGTGACCTCATGGACCAGCCCACGCCAGAGCTCCCTGTCGGGCCGTCACCACCCCCAGCTCCTTCAAGGTCAAGTCAGTCACTTCAAGGATGCCATTGTTTTATATTTTGTTATAATGTTGTTGTTTTGTATTTTGTATTGTTTTATATTGTTATTTTACATTTTAATGTGTTATGTTTTAACTGTATTGTTGGGCCTGGCCCCATGTAAGCTGCCATGAGTCCCTTTGGGGAGATGGAGGTGGGTTATAAAAATAAAGTTGTTGTAGTTGGTGGTGATATTGTTGTTGTTGTTGTTATTATTATTATTATTATTATTATGCAAGCTTTATTTTACTGCACTTCTTATATACAAGCAAAAATATGTATTCCATTGATAGTTACTAGGGCTGGGCAGTTTCGTTCGTTAATTTCGTAATTCGTTATTAATTCGTATTTAAATTAGCTTACAATCTGACATCGAGCCATGCAGGAGCAATTAAAAATCGAAAAAAAAATTTCAATTTATTTCGTAATTGTTTCGTAATTGTTTAGAAATTGTTTCGAAATTGTTTTGTAATTGTTTCCGTATGTCTGGTGTAAGTTTTAGTTGTTGTTTGTTTTATCAGTGAGAAAAAAATAAATTATCACACCAACAGTCAACAACAGAGGGAGAGGGAAGCTTCAGAAGTTCCCCCTGTCCCATTTGGAGGGTTTTTTTTTTTTTGCATATTGCGCAATTGCGTCCGCCATTAACGAATCGATTCGTAATTGTTTCGTAATTGTTTCGTAATTTACGAAATTTCGTATATTTCGAACTTTTTTAAAGAAAAATTTCGGAATTCTTTTAAAAAACGAAACGCAAAAACCCCCTAAAAACGAATCGAGTTTAGAAACAAATTTTTCCGTGGTTACCCAGCCCTAATAGTTACACTAAAAACATAGGTGGGGTGGAGTGGGGTAGGAATTGTTGTATTATTTCTTCAGAGATTGGTTACATCATACAACACAGTTAACATTTCATTACAAGAAGGCTTTAAAAACGAACAATCTCCACCATCAGCATTGTAAAACTGGAAAATATACATCTATGGAATCATAAAACAGTTGTTAAATAAGAATGAAACAAATGATGCTTCTCACATCAACAATCCCACAAACTAGTTTTTTCCACAACATAATGTGATTCAAAAATAACCACCAATGGGTGCAAATAAATACTATTTTTATTGAGCATTTAAACAGCATATTTTGTACAGTCAAGTAACATTATTTTAAACTGCTTATGGAAAACTGGCTTTTCAGTAGATCTAGAACTATCCCTTAAATCTCTTATTTACATTTCTATATAAACTGCTCCTTTTCGGGAGTGGGAACAATGTGGCCTTCCAGATTTTGCTGGAATGCAACTCCCAACATTCCATTCTGTTGGCTGGGTAGGCTAACACTGGTGGGATGTGCAGTTAGGGTTGCCAGAGTGAAAACTGAAAATATCTATCACTTTAAAGATGGAATTTAAGCAGGTATTTTTTGCCATGCTGACAGACAACATGCAGCTGAAATTCCCACGTCTGCACAGACATGAAAGATACAGGAGTCCTTTCCAGTGTTCACTTTGGCAACCCCTATATGCAGCATGATTTCCAATCTAACCTACATTTGAAAAAATGTTATCCTTTTCAACTAAGGAAATCTATTTCACTTTAAATTTTGAATTAGGTCTGTCTTATTGTCTTAATTTATCCACTTGGGCCCCTTCCACACAGCTGAATAAAATCCCACATTTTCTGCTTTGAACTGGAATATATGGCAGTATGGACTCAACCCAGTTGAAAGCAGATATTGTGGGATTTTCAGCCTTTTTTGTGCCAGGAGCAACTTGAGAAACTGCAAGTTACTTCTGGTGTGAGAGAATTGGCCATCTGTAAGGACATTGCCTAAGGAACATCTGAATGTTTTGATGTTTTGCCATCCTTTTGGGAGGCTTCTCTCATGCCCCCTCATGGGGAACTAGAGCTGACAGAGGGAGCTCATCCATGCTCTCCTTGGATTCGAACCTCTGGCCTGTCAGTCCTCAGTCCTGCCAGCACAATGATTTAACCCATTGTGTCACCAGGGGCTCCATTTTCTGCCTTGGTATTCTGGGTTATATGACTGTGTGGAAGGTCTCTTGGTTCCTCAGATGGCCAACAATATGTGAATAAATTACAGGTTTAAACATTTTAAAAGGATAACGAAAACACCAGAAGCTATATTCTTAAAATGGCAATACTCATCAAGATTTTTCCTTTACTGTAGTCAACTCAACTATTTGAATTGTCATCTAGTTTCCCTTGAATAAAACAGTAACCTTGCTTTTTAAAAATGTTATTAACAACTGTAAATACCTTGTAGCTTTAAACAATTTGAACTATAACAAAGATGTTTAAGATACACCCTATGTTCTACCACATAATGAGGCCTGATTTCATGAACGAGTTCCTAAAAAGGATAAACTGCAGAAGATAATGAAAGGACTTTATCCAGTAATATCTCCAACTGTGTGATGATCTCCATTATAGAACAACACATAACTGTTAATGTTGATCATTTGATATTCATGTTGCAATAGAAGTCATTTGTAGGTCTGAGGAGGCATCTATTACTCTACACTCCTGGACTGACAATTACCTACAGGAGTGGGAATGATGTCAGTCCTGAACTTGTGAAGAGCTGAGAGGCCTTAAAGTTTTTGATAATTTCTAGAACATTGATTTGACCAGGAGTGTAGCTAAGTGGGGAATGGAACAAAATATGGGAATTGTTTCCTCAGTAAGAATTCTGCCTCTCAGGAAAAATTCTTTCCATTCCCAACTTTCCAGCATTCCAGAGAGTGAGCCAGTAAAAATCATGTCCACCTAGAACTCTTGTATCAGATTTTCTGTATGAAACTTACATTTTAAGCTAGTGCTATTCTAGAAATTTGGGAACTGAAGGAAAATATTGCTGGGGGGCAAGTTTTTTAAAAAAAATAAAGGAATTACAATTGTTCTGAAAATAGCTAGCATGTAAATAGGAAATGTCCACAGTTAATGTAACTGAACACAGCATAGGATTCACCTATGAGCCTATTTGGTGGCAATATTGGCTGCAAAGAAATCCTATTTCTCTGTCAACACTGCACCTGCATATTGCTCCCTGGGAAGTTTATTAGGGTTGTTAAACAAATTCAGTTTTGTAGAAATGAATTGTTGGAACAATTGGCAGCATTCTGTCTGTTTGTAATGTATTTGGAAACTAATGTTCTCTGCATCTGTTTTGACCTAGATGCTAGACAGTTACACAGTCATACTGGACCCACCCACCCAATGTCTGGCATATTTAATTATGTAACACCGACTACTTGTGACCAGAGCATTTAGAAGGCTGGGGGAAGAAGAATGATAATAATTGTTGTTTTCCAGCATGTTGTCTCTTAGTAACAAATAAAACAGGTTCTTGTATCTTTAATTGTATTGGAAAGAAGACTTAGAAATATCTGAAAAAATTGCCAGAAAACATGTTTGTCAAGTGTTGAGAATCCCTGATGGAAAAAATTCTGAAACTAGTGGGAATGTTCATAGTCCAGGACTTATTTTGTCCATAAATTGGATGTTGTTGTTTTTTCACAGAAAACAGCATTTTCTGTTCAGGAAACATTTTCTGCGCAGCAACAAGCTGTTATTGTGCGTTTGTTCTCTACAAGATTCTTGCATTGTTGATTTGCACAGAAAACAGGAT